TTAATGCATAGTTTTCAAACGTTTACCCTTGAAACATTATACTTTTGAGTTTTAGAATTCTTGATTATCAGTATCAGTCAAAATAGAAAAATGGGTTCCCATGATGAACGTTTACGGAACCCAAAATTAGTTATCGTGGTTTCCCATTGGGTAATAATTCACAAAAAAATGACAAACCCCAATTGGTATGATCGTCATTTGTTTAGAGCAGACAACAAGTTTCAAAAATTTCTCAAGTTGTCATGAATGAAGTGACTGTTTGATTTCCAGATCAAGCTATTCCACAATTATGAATGTTCAAAAGCCTCAATTCATTATCGAGTTTTCTCCATCCTGTGCATGACAAGTTTGACATTCCAGCCCTCGTGGCTGACATTCCTCTGGCATCAAAGACCACGATCTCTCATGAGACAAAATAAATGAAGGAAATGCTCATGAGAATGATACAATTTGGGTTATTAATAACAAAAGGTATGTTCTTATGCCACTTTTGTGATTGTTGCCCTATCATTGTAATATTCTTTTCAGGTTCCATTTGTTTCTTTGGCATGTGTAAAATATGACACCAGTATATTATATATATAGTATATTATATAATATATAGAAGTCCAAGATGGCGCCCGAGTAGGCAGCCATCTGCAAGTGCTCTGATGAGCCTTGCTTTTTTTGTTGTTTTTCTGTTTGTTTTGTCACTTTGTGTTTGTTGTTACGTCGTGTGGACCTGATGTGGACTGTTTTCAGCATTTTTGGCCATGACATTCGTCAAAGAAGAAGAATCTGTGCTTGGTGGTTGCGCCTACTCGGCGGCACGTGTGTACCAGCACTGATTTTGATTGGGAGGAATGTCGGCGCCATTTGACTGTCGTTGCTGGACAGCTCCGGGGTGCTTGTGTCTTCCGCAGAGCGCCGATGCGGATGTGGAACCGGGAGTCGCGGCTTGGAGTTGAAGCGGATTACGTGGGACAGGAGTAGTGAACTAATCTCTTTTTGTCAATGGACGCTACAGCTTCGTGTTTGCTTTCAAAACTTAGCTTGTAGCAGACGTGCACATTTTCAGCATGACGTCTCTGATCCACTGGTAAAAGGACACTTTGATCCTCTCCTCTTTCATCTATAACTGCTTCAGACAACAAAGTGTATGCAGGAAAGCGGTGAAGATTGCACGACTGTCTGTGTCCGATGTGTTGTGTTGTGTTATTTTGACTTCAAGATGGCGCCGCGTGAGTGGCTGCCTTTCCAGCAGCTCCTATATTTTGTTGTTCTACTTCTTCCATTCATAACTTTGCTGCTATGAATTGGGAATTTCTCCATTGCGAGACCAATAAAGGTTTTCCTATCTTATCTTATCTTATCTTATTATGGAAAGAATTTTTTTAAATGCCAGAATTGCCTGATCCGAACACAACCCAAATTTGAATACTTGATAATGGATTTGCTTGTTGTGCTCTCAAAGTAAGACTGACGTGTGTCTACCTGGTGTTCATGTGGTAAGGCTGTACATTTCATTTACCTAACTGTAGTTTGACTTACTGAAAACACGATCAAAACATTCTCTTGTTAAAAACCATATAACCCTTCGTGTTGCCAAATAATGCGGCCTTATTGTCCTGAAAATGGTTAACAGTGCTTCACGTGTGTCTGCGTTCTCGATATCCTTTCCAGATGTGCCCCTTGACCTCAACAGAGGAAGACAGAGTGTTGATGTCAGCGCGCACACAGGCGCACAAAAACATGTGCACAACGACACAGACAGACACACACACAGGCAACTGCATGAAAGTGGTGAACTGCATCACTAGCTCACCTTTGTGTGTAGGTCCATTATTCTCATTGCATCCCAGTGATGAAAATATAAGACTTGAAGGTAAGCTTTTCACAGGAAGCTTGGATGCAGCATTTAATGCAGGTCGCCCACACACCGCAGAGGCTGGCTGGAGACGAGCAGTAGATTTTGAATTGGAATCTGAAAAGCCAGGGGCTGTTGGTGAAGCCGGCTGCTCAGGTGTGGTGCTAGGTTTGGAGACACCTGCAAGTGTGTATTGTTTATTAAAGGTTGTGATACTGACTCACTTTTAATAGGCAATGAACAGATTAAAAAAAACCCTATCCCTTCAGTTGATACATGGACAGCATTTTCTTACAAACACGTGGATGCCTCAATGGAAAGAATATCAGAAGTCGAGCATTCCTATATGATGAATGGAGGAGGCAAACTTGTACTACAAGCGCGTATGGTAGTGATGTGTCAGATACGAATGAAACGGCTCTTTGGAAAACTTATACCGTGAGTTTCAGGAGCCGCTTTTTTTTCTCCCGCCCCCTTCTCTCTCTCACCCCCAACACTGCATGTCATTGGTCAATGGTTTCCATCGTTTGGGTTCTGCACTAAGCTGACCGGGGAAATGGTGTGCTGTCGTCCTCCCGAACGAAAGAACAGAGCAGGGAGGGAGAGATACAACACCAACATTGGAAAGGAAAGTTTTGAAAATTAGTGAAGAGTCAAATCTGGACCTATGTCAATTTTCTTGACAATACAATGGCAGAGTGTAGAATCTGCAAGAAAAAATATATAATCTTGTCAAGATGGCTCCACAAACAACCTGCACAGGCCCCCGTACAAGCACAGGGAAGACAAAAAGACCAGCAAAAAACCTCATATGAAGGTGCCAATGTCAGTCCCCTCAAACCTTCTCCAAGCTCGCTGACTTCCGACCGGAGAAAACGGATTGTATACTTTTATATTTGGCCTTTCTCAATGAAAATCTTAAAGACAAGTTATTTGGATTGCAGGTTTTTTGTAACACCCCAGTCAGCAAAGGCATCTGGCCCGGCTTCGGCATGAAGCCGGCACAGCTGGCCTGGTGTCGGCAATGGCATAACGCATGTGGGCCGAACACGGCCCAGGCGTGGCAAAGGAGGCACTGGCTTGACTCTGGCAAACCAGATGAGGGCCGATTGTGGCGTGAAGTATTTGGGCCAGAAATCAATTTCCAACTCCGGCCCGAATATGGCCAGCCAGAATTGAGCCACTCCTAAATGCAGTTTCAGATTTTTTTTTTCTACACACAGCCTTGTTTTACAATTGCACACCAATGCGGAATTCCATTCATCACACACGCGCGCACACCATCACACACACACACACACACACACACACACACACACACACACACACACACACGCGCGAGTTCAACGCGTGGTCAATTATGTTAATGTTTGAACCACTATTTTAATGTATTTTTTAGCCAGGGGGAGACAAACAAACAGAAAAGAAAAATAACGTGCATCATTGTCAAATGTACTGTATGTGCAACATACAGCACAGTTGAAATTTCTTCTCTCTCAACATAAAACAAGAGGATATATCATATATGGTTTCCTCTCTGTGGGTTGACCAGTCGTTTTAATATGATTTAATTTTCAAACACCAAAAATCTTCTGTACCAGTACAAGTAGGGAAGTGGAGAAAACTTTATAAAAGAATTAAGGAAAGTTTGGTGATAGTGATCAGTCTTAAAAATACGCTCAGGACAGAAGATATTAAGTTTTCATATTTCAAGAGAAAAGGGGTTTGAGAAATGGAATTTTAGGTTGGTTTTTTTCTTTGTACTGTACAACAGCCGTATACAACTCTGACCTACACTTCGGCACAGTAGGTGGCAGTCGTGCATCTCGAACGTTAGCTGCCACACCGCCAATTAAGCAAGAAGAAGAAGAAGAAGAAGAAGAAGAAGAAGAAGAAGAAGAAGAAGAAGAAGAAGAAGAAGAAGAAGAAGAAGAAGAAGAAGAAGAAGAAAAAGAAGAGGGGGAAAAAAAAAGAAGTAGCCAGAAGAATCCCGCTCACGGACAACAAAGACGCTCACTCCACAATTGCCCACACACACTCCTGTGCCACATCCCTAAAAGACTGGTGAGTAAATGCATTTATTTTATGTTTAGGATAACGTTTGTCTTTAGTGACAGTACGTTGTCAATTACAATAGAAAGACAATTCTGTCTCAAGTCTCGCCTGAATTTTGAAGAGGGCCATTAAATGACGCATTAGCATTTAGCATTAGCCTAAAATGCGGCCCGGGGTAATGATGTGCTCCGAGCATAGATGTGACTTCTTTCTGCTGGCATGTGGAAATATTAAAAATATATTGTGCTTCAATTTAATGGGTATTTACGGGTATTTTTTCTTAAAATTGTCACTTGCTGTGTCTAAATCGAGAGACTGAAGCGCGCGAATTTTTAAATAAACCGCTCAGCAACGTCACAGGCAGGTGGGGCCTGAACCTGCTGCGTCACAGTTTCGGTATCCATATGAGTTTTCGTAAAAATGCAGATTTCGGACATGATAAAAAATAACCCTTTCTCGGGCTCCCATAACTGGCTTTATGGCCGTCGTACAATAGTGAAACTGTTATGCATAAACTGCGTTTTATTTATATTTATGGCCATTTTCTTTCCATATATTATTAATTAATTAATGTGGGAAGCGCTGAAATACATTGCAATTTATTTTGATTCAGTTTGCTGCAATACTGATACTGTCCATTCAAAAAAACATGTATTTATACTTAATCTTAACTTAATAATTATTACCTGAATATTTTACAATAAATAAATTCTGATGTTAAAATGAAATTAAATAATAATTTGGAGAGAAAGCGTTCTCAAAAACAAAATGGACTATTAACTTGTCTGATTTATTGTGATGTTAACATCATCTATCAAACAAGATGCAACCATTTGTAGTTTTAAGTCTTCAATCCATTGACCGAACATTGCATTTCAGAGAGAGCTATTGCTCAATATTTCATTCAAATCATTCTGAAATAAGCAGACAATTGACGTTTTTCCCCAGGTTTTTAAAAATTTTAACCCTTTTATTTTTTCCCCGTCCTGAATTTGTATGTGTACTCCTAAATTATTTAGTGACTGCTCTATTTTTTGGTCATTTTTCAAATTATATTAAGGGCCTTTCAATTATGGGCCCCGAGAATCATTTGCGTCATTTCCCTTTTTACACATGTCGTGGACAGTGTTTGAAAGCTTAGGCTCTATTGAGAAGGTTAAAAATGTCCTGACTTGGTTAACTGGATGATTTTTAACTGCAGCCACACTGCTTTTTTCAAATATGAGAACTATTTCAAGGTTACTCTGGTGTGTTGAACAGCCTCTGACAGAGGATTACTTTAAATAATCTTTAACAAATTATACTTTGAGCAACAGTAATTACCTGTTTGAGGTCTGTGCAGCCACATGTCCAGTCAAGAAAAAAAAGTAGAGTAGCCAGACTCCTCATAGACTGCTTAATGCGGGAAGACACCCATGTAGGTGTCTAGATGAATATTTCAACAGCTTGTCCAATAATGTGTCATCAATCCATCCATCCATCCATTTTCTGATCCTCTTTATCTTCATCCTCACGAGGGTTGCGCGGGGTGCTGGGGCCTATCCCAGCTGTCTTTGGGCAGTAGGTGGGGGACACCCTGAATTGGTTGCCAGCCAATCGCAAGGCACACAGAGACGAATAACCATTTGTCCTCACAATAATAATGTGTCATGTCATATATATTCAATTCTCAAGTTTAAGTATTAAAAATGTTTGATAATTTTGTGATTTGGACTATTCTTTGTCTCTTTCAGGTTGAAGGAAAATCCACTCAAGTGAAGGTATGAAGAAAGCTTGGATGTATAATGATAGGAGTAATGCCCGAAGGAGGGCTGTCAAAAGAGTTGAAGAACTCATTGAAATTGAGGCGGAAACAGAGGGGTTGGGTTCTGTCAATTCTGAGTTGAGTGTTTGTCTCGACAATTCAGAGGAATTTAATATGCAAGTCAGTGATGATGAAAGTGATCAGGACCTTGACGCTGAGGATTTGGAAGAGGCAGAGGCTTTATTATCTGATGAGGACATGTCTGATCTTAGAGACCAGTGTCAGAATGGTGGTGATCTCCATAGCTCACTGGCTAATTGGGCAGTTTCATTTGGTATTTCTCTCATGGCTCTGTCAGCACTTCTAAACATCCTTAGAATATACCACCCTTTCCTGCCCAAAGATGGACGAACATTGCTGAAAACTAAAACAAGCCACAACATTCACAATGCAGCAGGTGGTGTCTTCCATTATCGTGGAATTTTGAATTCATTTCAGAAAATCTTCGATAAAGTGTGGTTTTCCTTGACAGACGGACATGTATTTAAACTGCAGTTAAATTTTGATGGCCTACCTCTCTGGAAGAGTTCTAGAACTCAGTTTTGGCCAATCCTTGGTATGTTACAAGGATACACAAAGAAACCAGTGTTGATTGGCCTTTTTTGTGGTACTTCAAAGCCAAATTCACTGGCTGAGTATCTTCATGATTTGGTACATGAGCTAAAAGCACTGCAAAGTGGATTTCTGTTCAAGCAGAAATCTTTCTTTGTTAATGTTGTTTCTGTTGTGTGTGATACCCCAGCCAGAGCTTTCATAAGAGGTGTGAAGTCACACAATGCTTATCATGGCTGTGACAAGTGTGACCAAACAGGTGTACGCAAATGTAATCGAATGACGTTTCCTGAGGTCAATGCAAGGCGCAGAACTGATGACAGTTTTCGACAAGCAATGGATGAAGAACATCATGTCCAACAGTCACCTCTTGCAGATGTAGGCATTGATATGATTGCTTGCTTCCCATATGATTATATGCATCTGGTTTGTCTTGGTGTAATGAAGCGTCTTTTAGATTTGTGGATCAGCACCACAGGCCCACTACGCTGTCGCATTTCATCTAGTCTCACTTCCATCATTTCAGATAGACTTCTTGCACTGAGAAATTACATCCCTAGTGAGTTTACTCGAAGGCCACGGTCACTAGCTGACCGATGTAGGTGGAAAGCCACAGAATTCCGTCAGTTCTTGTTATACACTGGTCCGGTTGTGCTCAGGGGTGTACTGAAGCCTCAGATCTACGATAACTTTCTGCTTTTGTCAGTAGGTGTGTACATCTTGGCAAGTCCAAAGTATTGTTTGGAGATGAATGACCTTGCCAATACTCTGTTGGTTTCATTTGTTGAACATTTTGGCCAGCTTTATGGTGAAGAGTTCTGGGTTTCAAATATTCATGGTCTGGTGCATCTCAGTGAAGATGTCAAAATCCATGGCAATTTAGATCTCATATCTGCATTTCCATATGAAAACTTCCTGGGAAAATTAAAGAAATTAGTTCGGGGGCCATGTAATCCTTTGACTCAGGTGCTGCGAAGATTATCAGAGATGGAAAATGATGACTTCAATCCTGATGTTAAAGAAACTCCAAAACTTTACAAAGAGCACATGGATGGGCCTGTGCCAGATGACTTCTCACAACGGCTTTGCCAGTTTAAAGTGCTTTCCTTTGATGGAATAGTTGTGAACTCCAAAGAGAGAGATTCTTGTATCAGAATTCATAACAAGTTAATTTCAGTCCAAAATATTGTCGAGGATAGAGGAACACTATATATTGTGGGAAATGAATACAAACAGGTGGAGCACTTCTTTACCTATCCAGTTGACTCAAAAGACTTGGGGATTTATGTGGTTTCCAACCTCTCCACCAGTCTCAAGTGTTTCAGATTGGGAAGGAATCTGCAAAAGTATGTCAGATTACCATTCAAAGACAAATTTTTGGTTGTTCCACTTTTGCATTGAAATTTTGTTGGGTAAGGATTAGATTAGAGCAATCATTCTTAATTTTCCTCAGATGTTTCATATTGTTGTCTTTGACGACACCAGTGAGGTTGAAGTTGTTCCTTCAGTTTGGATGAAAAATGGAGAATGCATGTGGCCTCCAAATAAAAGTGATGTGGCAAAAGCTGTAAAATCCCAAGAATGTCCTGGACATGGATGGAAGCCCCATAAAGCCAGAATTATTTTCACATCCTGTAAGTACAAAATTGTCAACTCCACCTTTCGATTGAGCTAATGGTCGGTTATGTATTACTTACTTGTTTTGCGGACAATTTTCTAGATGACTACAATGAAGCGAGGCTTAAACTACCTCAAGCTGTTGATAACACAGACCTTGGAAGTGATGAAAAGGACTCTCCAATTCAATTTAAAAGGAAAAGGATGTAGGTTATTTTGATTGCTTTTGTTTAATACTGTAGTGCACAAAATTTGAAGATGTGCTGAATTTTAATGAAATTCTTAAATTGTTTTTAGACGCAAGAACATATTATTCCCTGGGGAGGAAGATGACGGTGATGACAATGATAATGAGATGAAAGTACGAAAGTCAACAAAAAGGTAAGAAGTGTCAATCCCAATTTAAATTACAATTTGTTTGTCATAACATACAGTATTAATGTTTGTTTTGTACCTTTAAGGAGATTGGATTCATTGCCCAGTGCGCCAAAGATTTATGTGCCGAACATCACTCCTGCACTAAAACGAGGGAAACAAAATAGACCTAGGATCAACTCCACTGGCCATAACAGTCCTGAGCCTATGATCCATTCTCCATGCACCAGCAGGAAGATGCACTCTCCAAGGCGCACCTTCAATAAGATGCACACTCCAAGGAGCACAAGCAGTGAGGTGTACTCACCAAGGAGCACCAGCAGGGCGGTGCAGACACCAAGGCGCACCTTCAATAAGATGGACACTCCGAGGAGGACCAGCAGTGAGGTGCACTCACCAAGGTGCACCAGCAGGGAGGTGCAGACTCCAAGGCGCACCTTTAGTAAGATGCACACTCTGAGGCGCACATCCAGTGAGGTGCACTCTCCAAGGTGCACCAGCAGGGAGGTGCAGACTCCAAGGTCCACCAGCAGGGAGGAGCACACTCCAAGGTGCAACCCCAGGGAGGTGCACACTCCAAGACGTACCAGTTGTGAGATTCACACTCCAAGGCGTACTGGCAGTAAGGTGCACTCCCCAATGACGCACACCAAGAGGCATACTGCATCTTCCGCAGTCCCATCAACACACTTCGAGTCACATCAAAGCAGTGAGAAGAGATCCAGTCTGCAAACTTGTGAGTATTCACAAATTTTGTTTGGTATGCAGAATCACAATTAGGTGATCTGGAAAATGGTGGTGCTGAAGTATCTACTTCAGTGGGTAACAGTGGGTTGAATGTGGATTTTGCAGTATTTCCAATCCCTCTTTCTTGTTCATTTTATCCACAGTCCTGTTGCATAATATTTTAAAGCAAGAAATGATGCTGGAGCAACTGCGAATCATCTTTCAGACTCTACAGGGTATGAAAGCAGCTGATGAGGCAGAGATGGGCCTTGATCCAAATCTGTTGCCACTCAAAGATGTTGGTTCTCTTCAGAGCCTGGAGGAACAACTTCACATCAACCCAGACCTCCAGAAAACATTGGTATATTGGCATCTCATACATGTTGACCATATTGCATCAAACTGACTTAGCGCAGAGCAATTTCCCGGAGTCTTCACGGAGACTTCAGAGTTGTCTACCGCTGACGAAGCTACTGTGAGAGAAGCGAAACGTCCTTTTTTGTTTTTTACCCACAGGTACAGATGACGACTGACGGAACCCTTTCTACGATCAAACTGACTTGCTATCTTCCACACATGCTCTCATCTTAAAAATTTAATAAGCTTTCCAGTGTCGGTATTAAACGACTGTATTTTTTATTTTTTTAAATCATAATGAAGTGATGTTGGGATGATTTCAGGTAAATACACTGGCTCTCAAAGGTGGAGTGGACATTCGTAAATGTGTCTGGAGCATTATGCATGCAATGATCAATAACTCTCTGGCAAGAAAAATAAACATGAGAGGAATAAATGGAAAGATTGGTTTCCAGCACCTACAGATTCGAACTGTTGTAACTGGTAAGTTGGGCTAGATACCAGCAGTGTCATAGAGGGTGACATATGTGCCACCAGAAATGGAATCTGAATTATCCAGATCTGAATTTTAATCACTGAAACTGAATTTGATTTACAGTAAATTGCATTTGAAATGTTATGTTTTAATCCTTACACTGAAAAAAATGAATCTAAATTCTATAATTAGAATTTGTTTTTTGTTTTTTTGTTTTTTTTTTAAGTTTCTCTTAAACTGCATTTTAAAATGTTTATTATAGGCTGCTATTTTTTCGAATACATTTGGCCATATAAGGAAAAATAAACTTTTTACTTTAAACGTTTATACCAACCCAATATAAACGTTTAGGTATACTGTATGTTAGTAAAAGGTTTAGATTTTCTTCAAGGAGATATGTGTTCTCCAAGCAAGCCCGGATGTCTGTGACACGAATTTAGAATAATTTATTTTGTATTTGTAAGACTTAATTTTCAGTGGTGATCAAATGTATTTTCAGAGAAATATCTATATATCTAACTATATATCGATAGATATATCGATATTCAAATTTTACAATTTGGATTCAGTATCACGATTTCAGACTAAAATATACAAATCCATCCATTATCCGAGCCTCTTAGCCTTCAAGTTGTGTAATTCAAATTCGGTATAAGCAATTTAAATCTAAATTATTCAGATTCTGTTTCTGGAGGCAAATATTTCAGCCAACACATTAGTAATGATCATGGACAAATGTTTGTTTCCCTACCACACTGCCCATCCTTACAGTTTTAAAACAATTCTTTGTACAAAGCTGTAAATATTTGATAAACACTCGAGATCTGACACCAGAATATTAGTTTTCTTTTCGTAGTAATGTTACCTGATGATACAGAGAGTTAATTTTAAAATATGTTTGCATGTTTCAGCCGCTGTGAGGCGAAACCGATTAACATCGTGGGCCACAGACAAGGAAATTGATGCCACCATCCAAAGATGGCTACAGCTGGCTTCTGATCGGGATGGTGGGAGGAAGGAGCGAATGAAAAGAAAGGAGAAGATGGAAAGCAGTTTGATCAATGAATAAATGCTGTTCAAGAAGCTGCTGTATTACAGTTTGGACTTGGTGCTAACTGTCGTGCACTTTCCAGTTTGTGTGGTTCTTTGTGAGGTTCATATGATGAAAATAAAAATTTTTGTAACAGTCGTTTTTGAGGCTTTTTTTAAATGTGGGTCTAATATGGCTCATGAATTAAGTGGCTGAGTTAAGGTTGAATTAAGGCTGATCTGAGGAGCCTGTAATGGCCCAGCGTCGGGCCGGAGTAGGGCCGGATATGGTTATACAATGTGGCTCAGATGCGGGCCGGATGCGGCCCGGATCATGGATGCCAGACCCGGGCCACTGCAGGACCGTCATTCATTGCGGTATGTGGGCTGAGTGTCGTGCCGTGTCCGCGCCAGAGCCGGGCCAGACCAATTTTGCTGACTGGGACTGTAGATCAGGGGTATCCAACCTTTTCTGACCGAAGATCTACTTTTCGATCAACCAACCTCCCGCGAACGACCCGTTACCGCGCATACGCACGCACTTACACATGCATGCCATGGTGAGCAAGAGCCAAAACGGCCCCTAAGATGAACGAAACAGAAAGATAAAGTACACAAGAGTTGATGAGTTGGTGACAAGGAAATCACTGCCTACCTTAGTAGGAGACCTGACATGGAGGCATGCAACGCACATTTGCAGCCTGTTAACTATCGTAGCTCACGCGTACCGTTTTAAAATGCTTCTCTCGGCCCTCCAGATTGACATTCTTTGTGAGTGACATCGGTGAATTGCACACGAAACGAATTTTGAATGATAATAATAAGAATAAAAGCAACAGCTCTGATTGCAAGCTGCAATTGCAGACTGCTGAGTGCAACCATCATGTGTTTTTTTTTCATATTTTACACATAACTCCATCAATATTAGTTATAAATTAATTTAAGCAACAAAGACAATAAAATCAGAAGAGCCGCTTGGGAGGCAAACCAACATACAGTACTTCTGTCAATAAAAGCCAGCGTATGACACTTTCTATTCAATTCCCTATTGGAACATTCAATCTGTACTTTTTTTTTTTTTGCATTCAACAGATTTTCTTCTTTGCATGTTTACAATGGATCAAAGTAAATACAGTAATTCAAATCTCTCACCGACCTTCACTTAAGAATGGGTCGTGTCTAGCAAAGGGAGAAAGAAAAAAAGAGAATCTGTTTTCATGTTTGCAGCTCAGTTTCATTACGTCACCTGAACAAGAGACCCGCTGTTGAGAAAGGCAGAGCAAGCTGTAAAACTTTTCATGAGTGTTTGAAACCAGCAGGAAACATCTGGCTTCATTCACTTTTAATTCTCATGATGCGTCAGACCAGAGAAAGCAGCTGGTTTGTGTTACCTAAGAAATCATTGTTAAATAAGAGTTGGACAATACAAGTCAGGAGTATACACCTGTCCTCAGACCTCAATCTTCTTTGTTTCTTTGAGAGAAACACTAGCTTACTAATTATTTGTGGCTCTCGAAAGGACATTTCACAATTTCCAATGTTGCTCAATGCACAACAAACGCTGTTGTTGTGTTGTAACGCAACTTTGTTGTCAAGTCAAGTCAAGTACAACTTTATTGTCAAATGTGCAACATACAGCACAGATGAAATTTCTTCCCTCTCAAGACAACATAAAACAAACAAGAGGAGTGTTGGCGTGCTTTGTCGTGATAATCGCTAAGTGCAGCACTCGACCTGCACGCTTCGCTCAGATTAAGAGCCTTTTTTCATTTTTAAGTCAACAAAAGTCAAATAATGGACAATGGCTTTTTTTATTTTTCCTGCCACGAAAGCCAAAAAGTGTGTTACGGACTCTCTTTAACTTCAGCCTTCCCCGTGCACTCAGTCCTTATGCCCTCACTCGAAGGTTTTTCATTGGCTAACATGAGACGGGGTTCCTGATTGGCTGGTCTTAGCGTGGTATTCAAGGACAAGTGTAAAAATGCAGTTTCGCGCAGGGAAAACCTGTATCGTTTATTTTCATATATTCATAGCTTGAATTTTCATAGCCAGGATTCAAATTAACTTTTGTGAATACCGGCCAATGTGGCTGGTGACACTCTAAACTTCGCAGCCAATCAGAATTTCCACTAGTCATTTTTTCCCCCCTCCAAACTTTTAGCTCCCCTGTTTTGATCTTCGTGTACCTTTCTCATGCTGGTTGAACTCTAGACTGCAGTCTGAAATACGGGCATTTACGCTGCCAATGGGTCTATTAAATGTGATTACCTAGCATTACCTTTATTTTAATGTAGTGTGTGTGTATATATTATATATATTTCATAAAGTATTTATTGGAAATGTAGGAGTCACCGCCAGGAGTACAACTGACAGAAGACAAAGGGTTGGACGTTGTTTAAACAGTTCCAGTTCTGATTGTAGTTCCTTGATTTGATTTCTGTTCCAAACGATTCTCGATTTTGATTCTTTTATCCATCAATCCATTATCTGATCCGCTACGAGGGTCGCGGGCGTGCTGGAGCCTATCCCAGCTGACTTCCCTGAACTGGTTGCAAACTGGTTGCAAACATAGACAAACATTCACACTCACAGTCAAACGTAGGGATGATTTTTGAGCATTCAATCAACCTACCACGCATGTTTTTGAATTGTGGGAGGAAACATGCAAACTCCACACAGTAATTCATGCAAACTCCACACAGGAAAGCTTGATGTGGAATCGAACCCCGTGCCTCTGCACAGTGAGGTGGACGCGCTAAGCAGTCGACCACCGTAAATGTAGCTTCACATTCCTTTACCTACACAAATAAATTGTCTACAAATGTATTTTTCTATTTATATCTCACCTTTTTTATTAACATTACTACGACTTTCTCACAGAGTGATTTTTAAACGGTATTAATATCAAATTTATGAGCTTGATTTCATAAGTTGGGAATTTTTTTATTTCACAAGTGAGCTTTATTTTCGAAAACCTCCTAAAACCAAATTCACAATGAGTATAATGACAAATAAAAGGAAGTATCTCCTATTCAATGTTGGCTTGTGTATAAAAATGGGTTCCCTATTCTCCAAAGCAAGTCTTTTCTTGCCAAAATGGCCTTCTTACATTTTTCTTTGGTCCTCTTCAGAAGCACTCAGCAATCATCAGCGCATGCCCAGAAGTGTCTGTGCTATTTTTTTGCATTTGTAAGGTCACATATCATCTGCCTCGGAAGACTGGTGTTGGAGTACAATCTTTATGTGTGTGGTGCTCTGTGTTGAGATAATGCGAGCCGACTACACACAATACGACCAAAACTATTCATGCAGTGATTTTGTGCCTATCTGTGGGGTCTGTCATAAATAAAGGATTACAAACCTTGTGTGTACCAAACCCTAAGTATTCCCTCTTACATATTCCAACAGCTGTATTTAAGTCCAGCACCCCGTAAGAATAAAACCTCATACTGAAGATGAAGTTTTTATCTTAAACACCAGCACACATTGTAAGACACTTCCAGACAGCTATTAAATCAGTGTAGAGAGACTGAACAAAATTATTTTATTGATTTCATCATAAAAGGCCTTGTGAGTGTGAGTTGGTGCTATAGTCATGATATTAATTGGTGGAGAATATCCCCGTCCAGCAGGCTTATTTTTTCCCCACCTACGACTGTGAGGATCACTGTATTTAAAAATGTGACAGCAACTGTGTAACCAGCATTAAAAGACAAGCCTTTGTGGAGTTGCTTGAAAGAGCAAGGAGCCCTGTGTTACAACAATTACATCCATCGTAATGGGACGCTGGTAAGTTTTACACTTCATCATTTGATTTTATGGTAGTCCATCAAAATCTGTCTAGTTTAAAGTGCCTCCATGGCCCGAAAAAATGTGGAGCCCGCTGATCTAATTAGCGCATGGTAGAAGACCAAACCCTTTCTTTTTGGCATACCTCCAAACATGCATTGAGTCATAGTCTTCTCATTTAATTACTTTTATTGGCTTTACTTGAGAAAGAATTAATGAAACCAACAAAAAAATGCTCTCCTTCAAAGTGTAAATTATAGCCGCCAGCCAGACTGGGAAACTAACTACCTCTGGTCTAAGGTATTTTCAAGTGTGTGCTTGTTATTTCTCATGAATTGAAAGGACAATTCACAAATCTCAGGAAAAATCCATGTTTACACAATGTGAAGCCAGCCTCAGCTATCTGTGAATCCTCCCTCTTTGGGTCATATTCCATTGGTGTGCCTGTCCTTTCTTAAGCACCTTGCCTTGCAAACTTATCATTTTCTAGTGCATCTAAACATCTGTCAAACGCGCCGTACATAAGTAGTAAATGAATACAGACACACCAAAGAAACGTGATTCAATGACAGGAGAGGCTGTGTGGAACTCCTGGAACTTGTGAATGTCATTAAAATACAGTCATACCTCGGTTTTCGACCATAATCCGTTCCAGAAGGCTGTTCGAAAACCGATTTGTTGGAAAACCGAAACCACGCTCTTTTTTTCAAAAAAATCTTTATTGAACACGTCTGTGCACAATGGAACGCTACACGAGGAAGCGTCACTTCCTCGTCTACCTGAGGAAGCGTCACTTCCTCGTGTAAGGAAGGCGAGAGGAGTCAAGTGCAATGGTTATATTCAATGGTTGAATACACAACCATTACACAATAATTGTGTAATGGTTATATTCAAGTGCGCTCAGTTTGTTCGAGAACCGAAATTCGGTCGTCATCCGAGGCATAAAAAACTCAAAATTTTTGGTCGAAAACCGATTTGGTTGAGAACAGAGACGTTCGAAAACCAAGGTTTGACTGTATGTGAAAATGATAAAGCAGACTTTAAATTAGAAAACTCATTTTGTAGCGGGTAGTACAATTGCTGACTCACAGCACCTTGATCAACTCATTAAAATATTTTTATTCAGTCTCTCTTTGCGGACACAGTGGTTGGGGAACCCTGCTCTACATTATTCAAATCAATTTGCTTTTTACTTTAATAAGCACCAGTAAGGCGTGGAGGTAACTGGTTTGAACTTCAAGCTGAGCATTCGTGTCAGTGCTCAGCCGTATGCCAACGCTGGCCTGCTGCATAGAACAGCGAAAAAAAATGTTGTGACTGGCAATTTAAACAAATTTGACAGCTCTCCTTTACCCCACCCCACCATTAGTA